TTTCAGCTTGCATGATAGAGAGCCTTGAAGAAATTTGTGAAAATTGCAATAACCACAACTTAAACCACAGACGTAATGGAGCAGGGTATACTTCAGTTTGAGGGCTTTTAAGGTATTAGGTTGCAAATATTACCTGTAAGAAGTTGCCAAACTACTTTTTAAATGGATAACATGTCCTCAGTATACCAGCCCACAGTATGGGTGTCAGCTCAGTTGGCTGGATGGCTGATTTGCAATGCAGTGTGATGCCAACAGCAGATCAATTCCTGCACCAGCTGAGGTTACCACAAAGGTCCCACTTTCTCAACCTTGCTGCTTGCCTGAGGTGTGGTGATCACCACCAGTCGTTTCTCTATGAGAGAGAAGCCTTATGGTCCTCTGAGACTATGGCAATTCCTCCTTATTTTACCTAACCTTAATGAGATTGTACTAAAGAATGCATAAAACTTTAATAATTGTCGCAATTGGACTGGTTCAGAAATCACTGGCAGTGCAAGATCCCTCAAATATGCAGCAGCAGTTGAAGGCATTTTGTAGCTAGTTCTCTAGGTTTAAAGGCCCAGTTTTTAGTAACATCTATCAATTGTATGCTGTAACAGAGAATTTATAAATCATTTTCTTTTCTTCACAGGAGGGATTTCTCCTCGGGGAAATCAAAGCTGAAGCAAAAAACAGTATAACTGATTCCCAATTGGATGATATTGAGGTGGTGCACACCATAGGTGAGCTATTTGATTTGCAGTCTGCTTTCCATTGTATTTTCATGGTAAAAGTAGGCAACTTTGTTGCAGTTAAGTGTCATATCTTCAACTAGGATTAGTCATAATTCAGCTTTTTGTAGCAATGTATATTAATTTTGAGGTGTACAAGATGATGAGAGGCATAGATAGAGTGGATAGTCAGAGACTTTTTCCCAGGGCGGAAATGACTATTACGAGGGGGCATAATTTTAAGGTGATTGGAGGAAAGTATAGGGGAGATGTCAGAGGTAGGTTCTTTACACAGAGAGTGGTGGGCGTGTGGAATGCGCTGCCGGCAGTGGTAGTGGAGTCAGATACTTTAGAGACTTTAAAGCGACTCTTGGATAGGCACATAGAGGATAGTAAAATGTAGGGTATGCAGGGTAGTTTGATCTTAGTAGGATAATACGTCGGCACAACATCGTGGGCCGAAGGGCCTGTACTGTGCTGTACTGTCCTATGTTCTTAATTTCAGCTTTTATTAATACAGGCTAGTGCATCCCATGAAGTTCTCACCTTCTTAATCTTAGCTCTCGACTGTGGCGTGGTGACTCTCAGGTTAAACTCACCACCAGTCAGCTGTCTCTAATGAGACAGCAGCTCTATGGTCCTCTGGGACTATGGTGAAAACTACTACAGGCATCTGGAATCAAAATATGTTACATGTGACTGCAGCCTTGACAAGTCAATTCAAGAGATTTTTTTTAAAAAGCTTTCAAAATAAAATCTTTATCTATGGCTGTGACTTTTCCAAAATAAATTTATTGTTGTCTTCTCCAGGCTTAGTCAGTTAGTGCACACTTTTATGTTGATAACTAAAGAGATTAGCAAGTTCCAGTTTTGATTGTGCTCTTTGTTGATCTCAGCTGAGCAGTTGCTTTCGTACTACAAATGGTAATGTTTGTACAGGTGCATCGGAGAAAGAAAGGTGTCTCCTGATGTCAGGATCAAGCTTTGATGTGTGTGCCTCATAGTTAAATCACATATTGTCCTAACAGTCTAGGCTCAGGCATGAAGAACAGCCCCAGATATAGCAGAATATCTGTGGAGTCATGTCCCAATGTGAGACAACAACAGCAACTTCCATTTATAAAATACTATTGTCAGCAAATCAACCCAAACCACTTCAAAGGTATGTTACCAAATAAAACCTACCACCAATTTATATGAGTTATTAGGACAGGCGAGTAAGAGGTAGGTTTTAAAGATTCTCTTAACAGAAGAAAGATGGGGAAATTAGGGAAGGAATTGAGGAGCCGAGGACTACAGATATCAGGAATGTACTAGATGCCGATGTCTGAGGAATGGAACAATTTGAAAATTGGGGTGAAAATTTTAAAATTGAGCCATTGCTGGACTGAAGCCAATCTAGGCGTAAGTCAGTGAGTCTTCATGGAGTATATGGAATATTAGAGCGAGGGAGGACTATGTTGAGGTGCAAAATATCTCTAACATTCCCACTTATGGCCCTGTAGAAAGTTGCTAGTCATGTTGTAATGGAGCCAGTGGAGACAGGAAGAAAGCTTTTGGGGAGAGTCAATCCACCAGTCATTGTTGAGTTACAACAGCTAAGCAAGATTAACATCATTGAAGATTGAAAGACAGATTGTGATTTTGACCTTAATAAGCTGGCACTTTAGGAGACTAGAAAGAGTACTGTAGCTCTGCTTTGCAGTGATATAGATGATATTTTATCTTCCTAGTAGCATCATGTCTAAATTCAATCATAAGACCATATCATGGCTCTAATGAAGTGTAACTTTAATAGTGGAGAGCAGCAGTCCTGTTTATGACTTTGAATTGTAATTTGTTTCATCTACCAGTTGCATTCCTAAATTGCATGATTTTAGAGAATTCATACATTTTCAAAATTTGCTTAAAGCAAATCAGAGCAAATTAGATTCACTGACCTACACCTAGATTGGCTTAAGCCCAGCAATGGCTCAATTTTAAAATTTTCACCCCAGTTTTCAAATTGCTCCATTAAATTTGCTAAAAGCAAATCAGAGTTTTTAGCAACAGCTACACTCCAAGTTTTTTTATTTGAAGTGGGTGTAATGGTTGTGATTTTGATGTAAAATAACCAAACAAGTTGCCCATCAAGTCTCAAACTTCTTATATCCACCTTTCTGCCAGTTCTTGTTATTCCTGTAGTTTGTTGTTTTAACTTGGACTTATAGATCATGGTTAAACAGCAGGTCTCATAAAAGTATCTTTCTAAAAATTAAACATATGTATTTCATATCTACTTTTTAATTTTGTGTGTGGTTAGACATTTGTGAGCAGTGTTGACATTTTCAGAAGGAAAGACTTGATACAAAACCCAACAACCAAAAGAATGCAAAACAACCAGTAACTCATCTAATGTTTCTTGCTGATATTAATTGAGCTCCCTCAATGTAATTGTGAATGGCCTTTAAGGGGAAAGGAAGGAATATTACATATGGAAAACTTTAATTCCCTCTGATTGTTAGTATGTACAGTTTCCCTCCTGGAAGCTAGTATTACATGTGGAAATTATTACTCCCCTCTGAACTTTAATGTGTATTTTTCCCCTCTAGATATACAGAAACATATTCCATGTTACTGGCTATTCAGGTACGTGAGCTCAGTTGATAGCTACTCTCAGTCCTAAGAATTTTGCGACTCTTGCTTCCAGTGGGAATTGCTCAGTCACTTTTCACTTGATTCATGTATGAAAGGTTAATGGAACCAGTACTCCCTCAAGATCTTCTGTTGAGGTTATTAGTAAGTGCAGACTTCATGTGTGGAAATGCTGTTAAATGAAATGAAGTTGGTAATTTTGAAACAAAATCCCTTTGTTTTAGTACTTTAGTGTGCTTTGATGGGAAAACCTGAGTAAAAGGAAATAGCTGGTATATCTATATTAGTCATCGTACTGGCATTCCCTGGTGTCTAGATCAATGCTGTTAAAGGATGAAGGAGAGTTTTGGAGCAACACCAGTTTTCTCTTTTGCACTGTCTCACTTGTACAATGAGGCTGATGTTAATTCATACATCAAACTTAAAATGGGAATTGGGCTTGCCATATCAAATTTGTTACAATGGGATTGAGATTGGCTACAGGCAGCATGAGCCACAGTGCCAGTATTAAGAGGTTTATACAATGGACATCAGTTCAGCTTTCCAAAAAGACACTTTTGGCTATCATATCACAAGAATGGTATTAAATGTTGACAACAGAACTATGAACGACAGACTATGTTGCAAAATGTTTGGAATATGACCAATTCTTAATTGATACTACAGTTAACCTTTGTAATAAATTACTTTAGCCTACGGGTATAATGACACATTTTCACCTTGATAGCATTTTAAAACATAGAAATGGGTCATAGAAATGTCAAATGGGTCATCAATATGTGTTATTGTCTTGTCCACATTACTGAAACTAGCTGAGTTATTACGTAAGCAGTACCAAGTTTTGTAAGTATGGGCATTGTGCCAAAACTAAAACTGAAATTCATACAGTTAGACTGGAAACGAAGATACACGGTGCTTTTTGAATTGAAGTGATGTTACGAATGCTCTATCTGTCTTTTACAGTTTTTATAATTCTGCTGGTGAAGTGGATGAAAGAGCATTGCAGAAAATACTATTAAATCAGGAAAAGGTATTGTCAAGAGCAGTTGATGCAAAATGATCAACATGAAGATTTTTTGTTTGTTTGGCATTTAACAAATATTCATGTTTTAATTTAACATCTGGTTGTACATTTTATGATTTTAAAAAGCTGTCTAGTAATTATTTTGATAAACAAACCACGTGTGGTGAAATTTGGAAAATATCTTAAGTAAGCACCAAACTTTTAACTGATTTAAGCTTAGATGGAATTACTGTAAGAATTCCATGTCTCTGGGTGAGGAGCTACAAATTCTGTAATGATTGGCTGTCTAGCTCAATAACATCGACAATCCTCAGTATTTGCTGTGGCATCAATAATGGGTAGTTTCTAAAATAGCAGTTTGCATAAGAGACTGGCACACTATTCCACATTGAGATTGGTTTACAGATGTTGTAGAAATTATCCTGCCATTAACTCATTTTATAATTCATTTGTATTTTGAGCCAAATGTCAATGCAGTCATCCGGGTTGAAAGTTATCTGATGTTCTTGACTGACAGTCAGTTTAAAGTTTCATTTTGATGTGTGCTATTTTATGGCATCTGCTTGTCTACAAATAGTGCCACAGTCACAGCAAATTACATATTACAATTCAAGCAGAATAATGTTAGCAATGCTGGACTTTGATAGTTGTAGTGGCTATTAAGGAATGTCGCCTTTGATTTCGGTCTTGATGACTTGTTGAGTGTGTTGCTAAAATTCTCACCTAATTGGCTGAGTATAACAGTTTTATTTGCAGTCAGGAATTAGTGTGGCTTCACAATCTTGTTCTTGGTGATATGCAATGAATGGAATTCTTTAGCTTTCACCTGGTATGTTGTATCTTTAATAAATTTAGGCCAGTTTGTTACGAATATATAGTTTGTTTTTCCTGAAACGGTTAAGAGCTATTAATAACAGCTTTAAGTTAATCAGGATGTGCCATGTGATCTTGCTGTACAATATCAATTTGACACCCTCATACAACACACGGTGTAATATGTGATTTGGGTCTGCGGGAAAGTCTTTGTCTCCAGTGATGGGGCATGTATTTCTCTGAAAACAGCAACTTCCCTTAAACTAATTGAACTGCCTTTGGATAACCCTTGGCAGTTTTTTTTTTGGGAAAATTTGTGGAAGGTCACATCAACCAATATGAAACAGATATGGAAGAGAGGATTTGATTCAACACCAGTTGGTGACTGGAATGCTAACTTGTGTTGCCTGATTCAATTTAACTTTAGGCTACACTTTATGTTTTGAAATATTTTAATTCTTAAATTGTAGTTTTACAGGGCCCAGGTGTTGTACTAAAATCATTGTTTAGATTACCTGATGAAAATTGGACTACCACTGCTCCAAATTTTTGAATTATGCATATGACTGAAAGGTTCATGTCTCCTGAGTATCCAATATCCTGTCCAACCGTTAATGTTAGAGAAAGGTTCCCAATTGTATATTTTGGTTTCTATGACAAACCTAGACTTCATTGGCAGTTTTGAAGATATTTTCTCTCCTAAATTTCCTTCCATTTTTAATTCCCATTCATCTCATTTCCAGCCAAGATCTGATAGCGCACTTTTGCAGTTGACCAAGAGAACCAGTTTTTAGATCAGTTGAGGATACATTACAGACCCACAACATCTATGAAAAGGGCAAGAATTTCAAATTTAGTTTGAATCCTGCCTATGCTGATGGATAAAATTCTTCAATTTATTAACGTTGAGGACCTTTTGTTTCGAAACAGCTTTTAGTGGCATGGGGTCAGAGCACAAGACCATGTTGCCCATAATGTGGCACTACTTGGGAGTAAACCTATGACATTCTCAGGATGCAGTTAAAGCAGTTGTTGTAATTGTACCAAATGAGCTGTAGTTCACATCAGACACTGTATCCCATGTGAGAGTGCCTAGTTTTGCAATATGAAGCCTAAAGTAGATAGTGTTACCTTTTGAAGCTTTGATGTGAAATGAATCAAAAATAATGCTCAAAATTTTTGAGACATTTAATTATAACCAAATTTTCCTGCACTGTTTGTTTCAGGGAATCTTAGATCCATAAGTAAATGCTATTGAAGTTTTAATTGAGATTTGTTGAATTATACTGTGATATGTGCAGTGGCTTGGTTAATTGCTGTGTACCCCATGCATGCAGGTAGTTAATAGCTAGGTGGCATGTGTAGTGGTAATTAAAGATTGACATAGGTGCAGGTAGTTAACTGTCAGGTGACTTACATATGTTTAGTTAACTGGTTGATAAGGGTGAAAGTAGTTAGCTGCTGAGGACCATGTTTTGTTATTGAGTCAATCGTCATAATAACAGCTTCTTTGGTAAAAGACTTAAATTTCAAAAGTGATTGTTGTTCCACACTTACCCATTTTTTAACCTGGGTCTAGATCTAAATTTTACTTGTACTTTTTCCCCCCTTAGAATGTAATTGGTTGGTATAAATTCAGACGTAACACAAATCAGACCATGACATTCCGAGAACGTCTCCTTCACAGGACCCTTCAGAAGCATCTGAAAAACCAACAGCTGGTGTTCTTTCTCTTTACTAGCAAGTTAAGCAGAGAGAATGGCTCCACACACAGTCTGGAATATACACTGTATAAACCCCAGGGAAGGTAAGCAGTACCCAGAGTATTTTTTTCATAGAATGCCTGCAGTATGGAAGCAGGCCATTCATCCCGTCGAGTCCACACTGACCCTGCGAAGAGCATCCCATCCAGACCTACTGCCCACCCTATCCTATCCCTGTAATCCAGCATTTCTCATGTCTAACCCACCTAGCCTGCACATCCCTGGACACTATAAGCAATTTAGCATGGTCAATCCACCTAATCTGCACATCATTGCACTGTGGGTGGAAACTGGAGTACCTGAAGAAAACCCAAGTAGACACGGGGAGAATGTACAGACTCCACACAGACAGTTGCCCGAGGGTGGAATTGAACCCAGGTCCCTGGCGTTGTGAAACAGCAGTGCTAACGACTGAGCCACCATGCCGCCAAACAGTGTTATGAGCTGGTACAAGTTTGGGAAACGTAGCAAATGTAAAACATTTTACAGGCCATTTTTAAAATAACTTTGAAGTCTAATATTTATTTTGTTCTTTTCAAATTTAGTTTTATTGAGCGAATACCTGTATCCGTTACCAATCTAGGAATGTCTGAACAACAAGACTATAAAACGTTTTCTGGACCAAGTAGTGCAGGAGGCTATAGTCGCGCAATGAAGAAACACAGGTAGAAAACACAACTGATCTTGTACTGTCTACTGTGGTAACTAACAAAGATACTGTGGAATATGACCCTACCACTTCAGGTATTTGTTAGAGGGTGGGGAGATGTGAAAGTGAAGTAAATATTAACATTATGTTGGCAACTGTCAAGTGACCAATCTAAATAACACCATTTTTCCTTCATAATTTGGATCAAATATTAAGACTGACACAGAGCTGCATTTTTTGTTATAGTTTCATAGTTATAGTTACATTCAGAATGCACTGAGCAGACAGAATTTCTGAAATTCTGTTTTTAAAAAATGTGCTTGCAAATTGTGGAATGAATCTTCTGTCACCACATACGATCTCCGGAATCTCCAATAGTACATGCAATTCTTCTGAGTCTGTACTGTTTGGTCTGCTGTGTATTGGTGAACCAGAAACTGTGTTGCTGCCATCATCTGGATGCAGCCAGTTTGATCATTTTTAAATTTTGATTTACTGGATAACTTTATTTGATAAGCTTGAAATATGATAGCTGCTCCAAATTTAAATCAAATTGTGTTGAAAATATTTTTTTGAAAAGAAACATTTTCAAAACTAATTGAGCAACATGAAATTTTTATGGTTTAGCAAGTCTTCATTTCTGGCCTATTTGCCCAAGTTGGAACTCTTGACTATTTTATGCTTTATCCTTTTTTAATCAATAAACACAGATGAAGGATTTAGGTCCATGAAACAGGACATCCCATGATTGAGAAGAATAAAAGGAGACTTAAATTAGAAAGCATTGATCGGATTGACAGAGTTTAAGTTTTAAAAACTTGGAAGTCTTGACGGATATCTCGCCATTTGAAAATTCAAAAAAAGTTATGCATTGTTCTATCTGCTCAAAAGCCATCTCTGATGAGCAGTTTAAGTATGTCACCAAAATGACAAGTAACTGAGATGAATTAGGTAGTCATTGAATTGTGTTTCTTCCCAACAATTTTCAAAGGTGTTGTGGAAATCTGAATATTGTCAGAATTTATGCATTACTTAATTGTATATGTAGTTATGTAAATGACAGTGTAAAGAAGTATATGGTGGAAAGAAACCTGCAAATGGATTGTAATTGGTACATATAATCAAAACATAGTGGCAACTCTGTGACATTCTGAGCAGAATTCAGCATGACGTGATGTGCATTTGAAGTGTCTTGGAACAAATATGACGCAGTGCAGAAGGCATGGAGAAATAGCAATTATTCAAGTCCAGAGGAACATTTAACGTCGTGTTAGGCATCAAGGCTGTGTCAAACTTAATTTCCACTTGTGGGAGCGATCACTGATGCTGAGCCAGAGCCAACATCTAGTGTAGAGCTGAAATATATCACAGTTGGGTGTTTAGATTGATCAAAACATTTCCCCTAGTTGTTGAGGGGGTTGGGGGTGGAATCCCATGTTGGCTCCATTATTTGTTCTCCTTTTATCAATAAACTATCACTTGTCCTAGTATAGTAGTGACACAGTCATAAAATCAAAGATTTTTGAAGGATGGACTTGAAAGACGGATAAGATAAATTGGAATGAATGTGAGTGATATTTTTCTTCTCCTTACAGACTTGTGTTTTTTGATCAAGAAGGCTCTTTAAAAGAGGTTCAGAGAATTAAAGGAATATATGGTACACTGCAGGAAGAATTGAAGGTAACTGGAACATTAATCATAGACTTATTGTACTGTACTGTTCCATCAGTTGCAGTTCTAGGGCTGGCTGTAAATACTGATGCTTTTGTTGTCTAATGTTGTTTCACTGTTAACTGGTAATTCGTATGAAATTCTATTGTTCCATTTACAATATGCAGTATAATTTAAAATATATCCAGGGTTGTCCAACTGTTAATACCCTCTTTGCATTCACCATTCAGTATGAAGTATATGGCGATTGGAATTAATTTTGTTCAATGTTAAACTGAGATATTCAGTCTCTGTCTTTTACAGTCTTCTGAAGTGGACTTTCCACTCCAGGGCTACTGTCTTATGACATATGACATCTTTTCTGTACCCAGTCTAGTTTAAGAATGTAGGATAAGAATGACATCAATCACATTCCTCAGAGACAGTTATGACTTTTATGATTCAGACATATCAGTATACACCAAAAACAATTAGTGATAAAGATGCAAAGAATAGCCCTTTGATGGCTCAACTTTTTTAATAGGAATGTGGGCTATTCAATCCTTCGAGTCTGTTCTCCTCATCCTCCTCCTCCTGCCATCCACCACCCATGTGATAACGGCTGATTTCTGTTTTAATTCCATGCACCTGGTTCCATATCTGTTTGTCTTTAGCATTCTTCATATCGTGTTTCCTAACTCCTTTTCTGAATATCCTGGCCCCAAATTTAGCAATATGTCTCCAGACTTGTCACCAGCCCCACAGATAAGGATATTTCCAATTACCAGGCCATGGTAAGTTAGCTAATTTCAGCTAGGTCAGTGCTTAAAGTGCTACCCTTGACCTTATTGTTTGCAGGAAGAAAGAATTGGTTTGGGTAGTATGGAAGGAGAAATAAGTAACTTCACGCTAACAAAAACCACAAAAGTAGGTAGTAAAGCAATTCTCAACAGCACTGTGGGGGGGAAAAATGGCCATCTGGTTCAGCAGAGAAATTAGTTTTCTGCAAGTCCCTTTCACAGATTTGCTGTGTTCTTCAAAAGCATTTCCAGCTTTTCTATAGGCCTGAGCAATTTTGGATATCCAGGCATGGGAAGACAGAAAGCAGAACACACAAGTTCACCAATTCAGTGCCACTTTATTTAGAATCATAGGAACATACAGCACAGAAACAGACCCTTCAGTCCAACTCGCCCATGCCGACCAGATATCCTAAACAGCTGTAGTCCCATTTGCTGGCATTTGGCCCATATATCTCTAAACCCTTCCTATTCATATACCCATCCAGATGCCCTTTAAATGTTGTTATTGTACCAGCCTTCACCACCACCTCTGGCAGCTCATTCCATATAGGCACTCCCTTCTACATGAAAATGTTTCGCCTTAAGTCCCTTTTAAATCTTTCCCCTGTCACCTTAAACCTATACCTCCTAGTTTTGAACTCCCCTACCCTGGGGAAAAGACATTGCCGTTCACCCTATTCATGTCCATCATGATTTTGTAAACCACTTTGAGGACCCCCCCCCAGCCTATTCGACCTCTCAATAGAGCTCAAACCCTCCAACCCCAGCAACATCCGTGTAAATCTTTTCTGAACCCTTTCAAGTTTCACAAAATCATTCCTATTGATTCTGACTTCCCGTTTTAGGGTAACGCTTCTGCTTTTCACTGGACGTCATGGCAGGAAACGGGTTGGCAAAAGTGGTCAAGGATCTAACATAATGGATCTTCCTGTCCTGCTCTGCCTAACCGACTACCACCTAAAATGTCAAAGAACATGACATTATAAAACTATAGACCATAGGGAAAATCAGGAACATTGATTTTAACATTTTCTGTCAGGTAGCTAAAAGCAGGAAGCGTGGGAGGACCTTCTTCTCTCCCCCCCCCCCCCCCCCGCCGAGTAGTTGAAGCTGAAATGAATAAATTTGATGCACCATGAAAAGAAAACATTGAAATGTATCACTGAATTAATCACTCCAATGGACTCCCACCATATATCCTGGGGCACAGCCAGAAACTCCTATTTCAATCGAGCTAAGCCTCTGTTTGCTCTACCAAAACCAGCGTAGAGGGACTGCTGGCATTGGAAGTTCCTACTGACTTGGCTGAAATATTGTTTGACACTTGTTTGCAGATGAGATGTGCCGGGCACAAGAAAGAAGCAAGCATGCACCAGCACAGCAACTCAGCTTAGTCTTCTTTAAGAAAATACGGTAGTGGCCTGAAGAAGCGTTTTGCGGAAGGAAGCAGGCACACATTCATGCCAGCAACACGCTGGCAATACTGCTTTTCCAACATGTCATCCAGTTCCAGCTATCGTGCCTTTAATTTAAAATCCTAGTTTTGTTTCCAGTTCTGAGGTGTCTTTCCCTGTCCTCTCCAACAACATGGGATTGGCCAACACGTATGGGAATAAACATCAAGGCAGAAAGTGGGTGAGGGAGGAAGATAGATGACATAGGAAGGTAAAGCAGTACTTGTACTTTTTAAAATCAAGTCTATTGTGTTCACTGTTCACAATGCAGACTCCTCTATATTGGCAGGACCAAACACAGATCAGTGGCCACTTTATAGAACACCTCTGCTCTCCCTGCAAAAATGATCCTGACCTTACAATCACTTGATATTTAAATAAAACATTTTGCTTTAATGCTCATAGTTCTGTCCTAGACCTGCGGCAGTGGTCCAACGAAGCCCAACGAAAGCAAGAGTAACAGCACCATATTATCTGATTAGGCATATTACAACCTTCAGGACTCCACACTGAGTTCATAAATTCAGAGCATGAATTCTGTCCTCCATTTTGAGTACCATCATCTCCTTGCATCTAAAAATCATGGATTCATTCTTGGTAGTGACCTATTACCTGTTCACTATTTCTTATCTATTCTCCCATCACTCTCTACTACCATTAGCACTCCCTTTGCCTATTGATCTGCAGCATCTTTGTCATCCAGTCAACTTGTTGCTCGTCCCCCTTTCTCCACAGCATACAATCTATCACTTTTCCAGCCCTCTTTGATTCTAAAGAATGGTTATATTAGACTTGAAACATTAACTGTTTCTCTGTCCACAGATGCTGCCAGACCTGCTGAGTTTCTTCAACACTTTTTTTTAATTTCAGATTGCCAGTATCTGCGGTTCATAAATTGGGATTGAAAGATTGGGAGTAGATTTGTCAGTCATTAGTCTTGGGTCAGGTTCATTAGCTACATTGTGGGTAATCTTAAACAAGAACCAGGAGGAAGTTGGGGAGAATCTTTTGTGAGGCACAATGTGATCAAGAATGCACTTTCTGAAAGCAGGGGAAGGGAGAGAAGCAAATTCAGTATTCATTTGCAAAAGGAAATTGAATATATACTTGAAAAGAAAACAAATTATAGGAGGAAACAAAATAAAAGACTAATTATATCAAAGAGTCTGCACAAGCACAAATGGACCAAATGGTCTCCTATTCTGCAAAATTGTGATTCTATGTCAGTTGTATTGATGTGTAGGAATGAAAAGCAATTACTTAGATTGGATATTGAGCCATTAAGCCTATGAACTTAAATGTATGGTTTTAATTCATAACGGGCGACCAAAACTGCACATAACTCTAGCTGTGCTCCAGTTGCAGCCAAATATGCATTTTGCTCAAATGTATAGTTTACTATTATACTCTATGCTCTTGTTCTTTTTAATTACTTTACTCATCTGGATATTTCTACTGTACCGCTAGGAAATTTTGCATTTGAACCTCTGGTTCTCACTGTGTATAGTCTTTCCATTGAATGTGTTTTCATGTTTTTCTCTCACCTTACCCTTATTCAATTGCATATTCTGCTCATCAGCCGATTTCACAAAGCTGTTTTTCGTCTTAAAATCTCTTGGTTCATCTTTGTGTTTGCCAAACCACCTGCTTGAGTATTGTCAGTAATTATTTTTTACAGAACATTTAAAATTTCATCTTTTTGCTTATTTGCCTGTATAGATTGTGTCTCGGATCTGACTAGTTTTTGCTAATCACATGACCATAATGCATTGTTTTTCACACATGGCTGTCATTTTTTGCTCCCAAACTCAGCTGGCCTGTCACTCCAGCTGAATCTCTCTCCTTCCCAGACTTGGGTACAAATGCTACTTACTCCTTCGTATGAAAACAGCAGAAAGATACATAATCTTTAGCAGAGCGAGTTGATGACAAAGTGGAATAAAAGAGATAGTGATATAATAATCAAGATCAATAAAAAAAAGACAAATCCTCAAATTCACGAAATATAACTATATATATTTGTCCGTGCGATTGACCATGCAAGACATTTGAAATGCTATTTTTGCTTTAGGTATGCATTTTTGTTCAAGAACTTTCAACTTGTATGGATAATAAATTCCACATTTTCGTTACTTAAATCCCACCTTGTCATAGACCACTTGTTTAAAGGTAGAAGAAAGTGAACGCTCAGTGGAATGTTTGCTAAGTGATGTGCAACGACTCAGGAAAATGGTATCTGAGAAGAAAAGGCTGTGCACACTGATTCCAGGTAGGAACTAAGAACTGGTCAGTACTGGTCCACATATTCTAGCATACAGCTTCCTGAATTTTTTCTCATTGTCACCCCATTTTAATGTGTCAGGCTTCATGTGACAAGACCAATATTTCCACAGTCTGGTTGTGGCCGCAGTTGAGCCTCCGAACAACTATAATGTTGTTCCTACCAACATAAAAGCATCAATATTTAAAGGGGTGTATACTGTCAAAATTCCGTCTGAGTTCCATGGCCAACATTGTCATGGACCTCACAACTAACAGTCTCTTCTCGCACAATGTATCATTTTTAAAAGTATTAGAAGTTAATAACAGAGGTTGGAGCTTTCAAAAAGAAGTTAAGTTTATGATAAGAAACCTGAAACAGAAACTAAAGTTAAATCCAAGACAGTGCAGAGTGTTGTCTTCCTAGAATAGAGTAAGGCTATGTATCCATATTATAGCTCGAGCACTAGAAATTTATGTTCGCTCCTTTACAGCTGTTTATTGACACAGATGAGTAGACCATAAGGGAATTTTTTTCATGCAGTGTTAAATAAAATTTGAAAGCTCATGAGGATAAATAATGCACTTTTCACACACTAATGAGCTTCATGTGTGCTGCCTATTAGAATACTGTAGGATATTATGAATGGTCATGGTCATACATGATGCATTTACCTCTCATTTGTACTGAAGTAGAAAAAGTATTAGAATTAACTTACCATTTGGGTTTTGGTATTTTAACTGCTCTAAGCCAGGGTAAAATTGGGGCTACTACTGCTAATTCCAGCAACCCCAAGTTCGGGAAGCTGAATAATTAGACAATACTGTGGATTGCTATTCAATAACTTCTACTTATGAAGCTTGTAACCTTAGATGGAGACAATGTTAGACTTGGTTCTAATGGGTTGAGATGATTGATTAGCCTGCCAACAATTGCGTATAAAGAAAGGCCACTTGTGCAGATTCCCAGAATGCTGCTTGGCAACATTTAAGAAGCATCAGGATGAGCACTTAAAAGGCTATGGACCGAGTGCAAGTAAATGGGATTGGTATAGTTTGGTGTTTACTGGTCGGGATAGACATGGTGGGCTGAAGGGCCTCTTTCTCTCCTGTATGACGCACACTATGACCTGATTTGGGACTTCAGGGGAAGGTAGTGAAAGGAAGAAATATAAAATTGCATCTTTAATGGATTTACAACTATTTTTTTCAATAGTTTATATTGGCATTAATGCAAATGTATTTACATTTTTCTATGTTTTAACTACAGGAGAGAGACAGAATCATGACTTGGTAGAAAAGAACATACACTTGTGTCAGGCTTTGAAGAAAGCTTTCCCAAACTCAAAACTTTTACAGTCTGTGTCAATTACCAGAGATGGTCAAGTAGTGCCGGTCCAGTGTCACAATGAAGATAATAGGGTGAACGTAAAGGACACTTTCACTCGGGTCTCAGCCAAAAGTATCCATACGTCATCCTCAGAAAGGGCTAATGCTTCTGGGATTACGTGTAAACGGAAGGCAAAAAACTGTCTTAATCGCCTAAGTCGGGGTAAGAAACGGAGGACAGTCTGGCCAAAGCTCAGGAGATCAGCAAGTAAAGACAGTGAGGACAGTGAAAATGATTTGGTGAACAGACTGACTGGATCAGAGAATGAAGGGGATGTGCTGGATCAGTACAGCAATGATTTAGCGCCTTCAGCTTCACCAACATTCTGAACTTTCCAGACACTTGGACCTGAAATGCAATAAAGCAATTCCCACTTGTGAAATGCAAAGTGCCAAATCTTTTTCCGTACATATACTGAAAAGGATGTTCGCGTTTCTTCAGATGGAAAGCATGTTGCAACTTAGAGAGGAGGAAAGTATTTTGCTTTTTTTAAAAATCGTGGTGATTTAACCTTGTTTGAGACATCCGATAGCTATACTGAAGGCCTAAATGATTTTAATATTTTTGCAGAATCAATGCACCTATGGTGAGGTTAAAACATGGTTTAGAATACCGTTGTTTCACTTTTTGTGCCTGGAATTAAATTTCTCTTCTCTTCTGCCCTTAGACTTTGAAAAGCAGTTGTTTTCTGCTTTTTTTTTAAACTCTTTCCTCGACTTTGACATCCAGCTTTCATACTGTGCACTCCAGGTCACTCGATAAACTTCTCTCAATAAATGCCTAAAATGGAGCCTCTTATCGAGTGGTCATCTAAGACGAGTAGGTAGTTTCTTCAAGTTTGAAACATTGGTTGGGGGAGATGCAGCAAGGGTGAAACCATTGTTCTGTTAAATAGTAAGTAAGCACGAGTCAAAACTAAACTACAGATTGTAAGGTAAATAAATGCAAACCTAGGTTTTTTTAAGTTTGTAGGGTCAGATATGCAAAGTCATACTTTAGAAAAAAAATTACTATCTCATGCACATCTACAAACAACCCAAGCTCAGGCTAATTTTCAAGTGTAAAACAGATTTGATGCTGACTTGACAACTCTGTTGAAGCCTATAGCAATGGCTGCTGTTGGAAACCGATGTTCAAAATTGAGGTTTAGATATTGCGGATACAAGTGAAGCTCACTGCTGATGAATCCCAAAGTGCTTCATGAGGGTAATCGGACAAAACTTATCAGCCAAAGAACATGGTCAGACAGCTGACCATAAGCTGAATGAAAGAAGTAACTTTTAAAAGAGTAAGACAATGGTAAAGATATATAGGAAGAGGATTCCCGAGCTAGGCCTAGATTAGATATATCTCGCTGTATTTTGGAAATAAAGTGGGTTTAAGAAGGTGTAGAATTGGAGGAAGACCGGTTTCAGGATTGTAGTGTTGGAGGAGATTGGGTGGGTGAGAATTTAACAAATGCTTTGCTGGGCCAAGAGTCACTGCACATCAGGTGCACGATTATGGAGTTGTATTTTTGATGGAGAGCATTTGGGGTCAGAAGTTCAGGTTCAGATAGAATGGAGAGGTTATGAACAGTTTGGTTCAGCCTGAAGCATTCGCAAAAGCTGGGAAGAAATCAATAGGTAGAGAGCACATTTTCTTACAATGACCAAAAGTTATGACTTCAGTCTTCAATTTGAGGAAATTTGGCTAATCAGGATTGGTTGTCAGCACAGAGTGGCGCATTGAAAGCTGGTGAGGTAGTGCTGGTTACTCCCAGTATATATGTGCAGTATGACATGTTTTTGATGTTATTAAGGTATGTAGAGCACTAATCATCTGACTACAGACTGTTACTGTCCTGCTTAACAGTTACGGAGAAAGAATAGAAAAGAACAAATAAAGGACTGACATTTATTAAGGAAGCAATGGTGGTATTGCTGTAGAGCTGGCTATATCTTTAAAATTGTGTGTGGTCATAGACTTTAATGGCCTAATTTCAAACTGTAGTAATAAAATGGAACAGTGTATTAGAACATGATATAGGTTGGACAAACTGCTCTCGACAATACATGTAATAATAGCAGCTTCAGTACTCCATCAATGTCCCAGCAACAATAGCAGATCTCAGTTCCACAGACCATTGACAGAGTGAGGACATCTCTTATGACTGCACCCATTGCTGCTTTAAAAGCTGAAAGATACAAATGTTAAGATGCAGTCATAGATGATTGCCTCAATGGAGAAGTTTTGTCGGCAAGTTCTGAGAGGTCAGAGATGGTCACTTCTGTATTTATTTAGATAACTGAGTATCAGCTGGAGGGACTCTCCAGCGCAATGTGCTAGCATCAGTGAGGCTTGAGCAAAAGAAGTTATGGTTCATCCTAGACAGATAGATAGTGCTTTATCACCCATTTTCTAGATATGAGGGGCACTTAATTACAGAAAATTGAGCCACTTAAGTTTTGTTCTGCATTCTATTAGATCATGCTGGTCCATACTCAATTTGTGTGCCTGTGATTTAACATTTAACACCCATACTTAATGATCTCTCTTTCTCAGTTTTGGCATTGTTGACTGAGCATCCAGTCTTTTGTGTGGGAGAGAATTCCAAATTTTGTCAGCCTGATTTTCAAATGTACTAGCCCTGCAAGGCTGCAGCATCACTTCACTTTGGAATTCAAACCCTTGAGATCAATGATTGAAATTAAAATCCCACTGCCACTTTTAATTAAAAAGTAGCGCACAAGTACAAAAAGTATTGTGTATGTAGACTTCTAAATTCCTTTGCACCTTTTTGCACTGTTTCAAAAACATGACAATTTATCATCCTTGATCCTAGGTGGATGGCCTTACAATTTCCATTTGATCGACAGCTTCCAAAGTTTTTTCCCCTTCCTCCTCCCATCTACACAATACCTGTGTTGGCTGACTGTGTTATCAACAAACCTGTTTGTATAGCTCAGTATTCCTTTATTCAAGTCACTCATGTTTGTGGTGAAAATTAAGGACTGTCTACACGTCCCTGGGCAACATCATGTGCCATCCCAGTGAATTAAGTGCCAGAAGAAGTCAATCACATAAAATGTGGCCGCAAATCAAATTCATGTCACTATTCTATCAAATGAATGATGATGTGACCAGCATAGCACGTTCATGTACACTATCTGTGCATGCCCTGAATACAACCACTTTGGGAAACAGCCTGTGCTGTTGACTGTTGTAACTAGCATCAATGGTCTTTTAAATTCTAATTTGGTCACTAAGTTTGTGCAGAAACCTTCAAAAGATGTTCGTATTACCACTACTGAGCATTGTTGTGTTGGTGGAATCCTAAACAAATTCCCTCACCAAAATTCCTGAAGGTCTGGTTGTTACCAGATGATAGGAATATACCATAATTGATCCCCAACTGCAGAAAAGTTAAGCCCACCTGTATTTTTGTGTATTTTCTTCATGCCAGGTTAATATCAACCCCAGCCCCATCTCCATAGTTACCCCGATCCTGAAGTGTGGAGCTGCAAGTGTACATAACCATGTCATCAATATTCCCTTGTGTAATACTGTTGAAAATGTACCACTGTATCAAGTAAAGCCAGTGTGTAATTTTTCCCCTTTACAAAAAAATAAACATTTATACTTTAGATGTTACATTCTTTTTTCCTGTCATTCTGTAGTCTGTTTAATTGTAATGGCATGTTCATTTGCAAGAACTGATCTTTCAAATAGCCTTTTGCATGTTACTACACTCTGTTCAAGACATATTTACGAATCCGATAGCCTGTCTAGAGTGATAGTCTCTCGTAGGCTGCAAACTCTATTGTGGTAATACACAGATTTGTAGCACCTATCACTAGTCTTTGTTGTTTACAAACAACTCTGTTCCTTCAATGTTCCAGCACTTAGACAATTCATGTCATCCACTACTCATAAGTAGTTCACATTTCTACTTGAGTACCTTTAAATTACATCGAAGTGGCGGTAGCAAGTCATGTGCTTTTGGAAAAATAATTTACATGAAAAACATGTTCTTGTGTTAGATATAACATTCATTCAAGGAAATTAAGTATAAAACTTATGCGATAATAAGACTGTAATCTGTTAGTCATAATTATTTGTTGTTAGTAGCTCTATATATCTCCATACAGAACAAGGTTTTGAAGCTCATTTAACAAGGGCTGTTTGTAGGTAAATGAGGTACTCATTTTAAGAAATTGATAAATTGGGTGATTGTCCAAAACCACTTTGTCATCAAAGACCTCAAGCTGGTGGTCTACACAGCAGCAGCAGTGTCACTAACACTTCTGTGTGCGTTAATGAACAGCCAACATCTTCAATCCTGAAGAGATGGCACCAGTGATGTATCTGCAAAATACTGCAAATTCACAGAATACGCGTTCCAATATCAGTGTTCTCTTTCAGACCAATAAGCCCAGCATGGTCTGATTGATTGATGAAGCAGCAGCACTCTGAAAGCTGGTGATTTCAAATAAACCTGTTGGACTATAACTTGGTGTCGTGCAACTTCTAACTTTCTGGAATAAACTGTTTCCTGAAATGAACAAGAAGCTGTTAAAAAGGATTTAAAAGCAATGTGCCAATTAACCATCCCTGATGAGTCAAAGCAACACAAGTTGTTTCCTGGGAGAAAGAAGGTAACGATTGCTTGATAACTTACTGCCTGTAACCAAAGGGCAACTAAGACTGCCTGCATAAGTAATGTTCTGAGGTGAAGGGGTTAATGGCAGTATGTTTTGAATAGACAGCTAGCACCAAATGTAACAAGGAACAGAGAAGCTACTCCTGATAAGAAGTGAAGCTATAGATTTGACGACTGCAGAAGAGCAATGCATGTTGTAGAAGAATGGGACCTAAAGGTTCATCAATAATGTCACATCAGAAACTTCATAGACAAAATCCTGTAATAATTCAACCTCAGAATTCTTCCGCAGCAGAATTTTGAAGAACCACACTGCATAAGGACGGAAATCTGGACATCCACAGACAGACACTGGTGGTTGGACAACTTAATTCCATTATTAATCTAAGTTCAGTTATGAGACTTAGCTTGCTTACTTGAGGGGTCTTATTTTGGTTGTGTATATACAATAAAGTTGAGTATTTCTTAAGTATACGAATTAAGGCAGCCTCTGGTAATTTACAACAAATGTTTTAGTTTATTGTGAATTGAGTGCAAGAATAGGGAGTTATGCCTTAGTTAAACATGATATTGGTCACTATACTTCAAGGTGATGTTAACTTGTTGGAAGCAGTTCAGAAAAGTTTTACTCTACTAATACCTGTGATTAGTGGATTACCTTATGAGAAAAGGCTAGATAAGCTTGGCCTGTATCTTCTGGAGTTTAGAAGAGTCAGTTGACTTAACTAAAACATCCAAGATTCTAAGGGGACTTGTCCAGTGGTTGTTGAAAGGATATTTCCTCTTGGGGGATATTTAAAACTATGGGTCATAGCTTAAAGATAAAGGGGATTTCAATTAAAAGAGAAGGATACCTTTTTGTTCTCCAAAGATTGAGTCTTTAGAATTCCCTTCATTGCAAGGCAGTAGATGCAGAATCTTTAAATATTTTAAGGTGGAGGTAGACAGATTCTTAATTACCAAGGGGATCAAAGATTATTGGGGATGAATAGGAAAGTAGAATTGAGGTTAAAATCAAGTTGGGTATTATTTTATTGCATGGAGGAGCAGGCTTGAAGGGCCAAGTGGCCTACTCTTTGCCCGTTGTTCGTATGATTTTCATTAATCAGCTGCATTGGCCAAAACACATTGTCTTGTGTCAAGCATATGGATATCCAAACAAACTCTCCTATTTCAAGCTTCATTACAATAAGCAGCTACAAGGAGGGCAGACAAAACTGTTCAAAAACAATGCAATAAATATGATTGATTTGCAAGAATCTCTAGCCCACGACTACCTGAACTGGAGATATATCCACAAAAGGTGCCACCTGTTACAACATCTCTGACAAGCCCAATATGGAGGCAGCATGTGGAAACCCAAAATCCCAATCATCCTTAGACCAAACACCATGTGTTAGGCCTAGTAAATCCAGTATTTGACTACTTTATTACCCAAGGACCCACACACCAGAGTGGTTATCTTCAGGCCCAAGCGACAGTCCAAGAAGAGAAGATCTCAAACAGATTCTCTTTTGCATTGAAAATTTTTGTGTAGAACAAATCTTTCCACGCGTCATCATTTAATACGTTTTATTGATTCTAGAAACACAATGGAAAAACTTCAGAGCACTGCATCGTAAATAGTCGCTGAGGTTGAGGATCATTCTCGAAGTTTGAAATCACAAATGTTTGGATCTTTTAGGAAAGCAGGATCTTTAAATGTGACTGACATAAATCCTACAAAGGAAAAGAAAATCATTAATAGAACAAGAAAAAATCTCAACAGGTGAATGACACAAATATTTCAATTGGGACAAAATAGTCTTTAACTTCGGCATATCAAAGGGTCTCCAAAAAATTGGAATAAATTGAGTTATGGTGGGGAGTAACCAGGGCTCAATGCTGAGATCACAATTATTTCACTATAACGAAATGAAGTATCTCCAGTTGCTGAATGAACTGCATATCTCAAAGTGGCACAATGACAACAGAAATTCTAATTACAGACTAGTGGAAAGTAATGATTATGGGAAGGGTAACATGCCACAAATGCATATAAATTATGTTGAAATAACTAAGGAGGATGATCAACAAGATTCAGGAGTTTAATCAACATGTTCAATCAATAATGAATATTAAATGTAATAGCCAAACAATACTACAGTTAAAAGAAGTTTAAACTGTATGGGTCTCTAGGGTCACACTACTGTGCTAGTAGTACATCCAGTTCTGGTTACTGAGACACAAGGGAGATATTCAAGCTGTGGATACTATACCAAAGAACCAAGAGACTGATTTGCAGGAGATCAGAGTTAAGAGGAATGACATATTTAGGTCTTGCCAAGGAAGGTCAGAGGTGATCTTATAGAAGCATATAATAGCTAAGGAAGTGGGAAAAAAAAAAATCCAGAGTATTATACTCAATTACAAGAATAGGTCAAAATGACCATTTTCAAACTAGTAAATTGTATTTTTAGGATTGATATCAAAGCAATTATGTGGAATCAGATTCGCACTAAAGTCTTAAAACAAATTGCAATAATGCAGCATCTTTAAATGGAGATAAAGGAATGGCCCTAGGTATGGTGTGGGTAATACAAGATAACTTTTGTCCCCAAACCTTCCCCCCCAACCCCGCCCTATCCCTTTGGGACAATACAATTCCCAAAGCAAAATCCAGAAAAAGAATTGCAGTTAAGCAAAGGTATTCAATGTTAGTTTTAGAATTTAAATTAGTTTTAAATCACATACCCATTTGCTGGGCTTTCTTGATGGCCTTGGAAATTTGTTTTTGTTTCTTTCCACATAAACCTAGAAAGAGATCACAATTAAAACAATGGATTTACGTACTTACAACTGTAGGACTGCTGCATGATACATCTTTTAGTTTTTCCACAGCTGACAAGTGTAGATCTTCATTCAGGAAATTTCACACATTTGTTCAATGTATGTATCAAGTAACAGGTAATATTTACTTATTTAAGCATGAACAAATATCAGGATCAGAAGCGTCTTCTACCTTGGATTGGTGTTTTTAAGCAACATGTTGAACATACAAACAAGGGGCAAAAGCAAGCCTTGAGAGGCCCACTTGACCAGTTATTAACATCATGGCTGACCTGATTTTAACTACTCCACATTCTCATGATAGGTGTGTGCATGCAGTGGTCAGGATTGGTCAGTGAGGTGGGAGTGGCGGATAGATGGGAGAGAATATGCACAGGTTCTGTCAGGTCGAGGAGGCGGGGATGAGAGGGCTGGTTCGTCATGAGAGGAGGCTGGGGGTGGGGAGATTTTGAAACTAGTAAAATCCACGTTTAGGCCATCGAGATGTAGGCTGCCGAGGTGGAATATGAGGTGCTGCTCCTCCAACTTGCGGGTGACATCATTGTGACACTGGATACTTATCACCATCCCACCTACCTTCCCCAGCCCCACCCCTCCTCTCTATTTATTTCCAAGCTACCCTCCCCCTCCCCATTTCTGAAGAAGGGTCGCGACCTGAAATGTCAACTTTCCTGCTCCTCTGATGCTGCCTGGCCTGCTGTGTTCCTTTAGCTCCACGAAGTGTTATCTCTGACTCCAGCATCTGCAGTTCTAGCTATCTGTGTCTGAATTTAGCTGGAATCCCCAATCACTAATGTAAACTGTATCCTTAAAGACACACAACGGAGTGGATCCAAGTCCTTGCCAACATGAAAGAAAACAAACTCTCCCCTTTGGAACTCTGAAGACTCAAAAGTATATAGTATCTTACCTGTTATGTGTCTCCCAAAGATACGACCTGTATATGGAGATATAAACTGGGACAAAAGCTGTTTTAAAAAAGGAATGGTTGAACATAAAATTAGTAGAACCATAGAATCCCTACAGTGTGGAAATAGGCCATTCGGCCCAACAGGTCCATACCACCAAGACTCCAAAGAGCATCCCACCTAGACTCATCCCCCTACCATAACCTTGTAACCCTGCACATCCCTGAACACTATGGGCAATTTAGCATGGCCAATCATCTAACCTGCACATCTTTGGACTGCAGGAGGAAACCGGAGCACCCAGCAGAAATCCACACTTACACTGGGAGAACGTGCAAATTCCACACAGACAGTCATCCGAGGATGGAATCAAACCAGAGTCCCTGGCGCTGTGAGGCAGCAGTGCTAACCACTGAGCCACCACGCTGCCATTCAGCCCAATGAACCTGCTCAGCCATTCAATAAAATCGTGGACAATTTGTTTGTGTTTTGAATTCTATATTGCCATCTGCTTGCTAACTTTTCTTGCTTAACAAGAATCTACTTCTGCCTTAAAATATTCAATAGCACCACCTCCACTGCCTTCTGAAACAGAGTTCCAAAGTCACACAATGCTCAGAAAAAAAAAAAATCATAATCTGTCCTAAAACAGCAACGCCTAATTTTTATATAACCCTCCCTAGTTCTGGACTCATCTACGAAAGGAACCAGCCTTTACAAGTTCACCTTGTCAGGATCTTACATACTTTTAAACTCTAAAGTTGACATCTTTTTCTATTTGGTTTAGCCAGCCATTTACAATCCTGCCAATCCCCAAATTTCTTTCTTTAAGAGAAGATTTAGTTTTCAATTGGAAGTGAGTTTTAAAACTTTCATCTGCTTTGGGCATTTGTTGAGCAATGAGCTTTGCAGTCAAACTGATAGTTGGTGGGCATGGACCCATTGCCCACTTACAGATAATTTATGCTATGTCATTCAGACAATTCATAAGGAGTGAAAACAGATGATCGTCTGAAAATGAAACCAGAACTAAGACATTTAATCATGGTGGAGTTGATGAAGTTTCAACTTTCGGTTGGATACCATTGCACCTAACTTGGAAGTATGACAGGTAACCAGATTGGAAAAACTATCCAATCCTTCACATCAATGAGTACAAGACAGTAGAAATAAATCCTAACCTGTTGCTCATTTAATGCATGGTCTCTGAAGTGGGGTTGAGTTTTATCAGCAGCTGTGTCTCGAGCCCACTTCTAAAAGGATGGCACAGGCAGGATCAGTCACAACATTTAAGAAATATTTAGATGATCACTTGAAGTGCCATCATATACAAGACTACAGACCAGAAAGGTTTTTAATAACCAATGCAGACACAATGGCCCAAAGGGCCTCTTTTTTTGCTGTAAAACTTTATACCTATGGCTAACTCACTGTTGTCAGTTCTACTGAAAGGTCATCAGCCCGAAATATTAACTATGCCTCTCCCAATACATGCTGCCAGAGCTGCTTAGTAATTCCAGAATCTGTAGTATGTTGCTTTTTACTGGAAGTCATTGCCTGAAAGGGTGGCAGAGGCAGGAGGCATCACAACATGTAGGATTTAAATGAACACTTGAAATGCCATAGCATACAAGGTGACAGGCCACATGCTAGTAGATGGGACTCAAGTAGGTAGGTGATTAGTAACTAACATGGACACCATGGTCCAAAGGACCTCTTTCCACGCCCAAAACTGACTCTGAATAATGACAGGTCAAAAGCACTCTGGTTTTTCTAAATTTTAAACGTCATTGCTTTGCCACTGATTATAAAATCAAGGCTATTCATATTCATTCATTTCCAGCTGGAAGTCCAGAAGAACAGCATGGATATTTTATATTTTGCATTCATCATCATTAGGATTTTGGTTTTACGATCAAAATTTAAAGACAGAAGAGATATTTGCCCCACATATTTAGAGAGAATATTCTTTCATCAGCCTCACACTTGAGGTCTTTCATTCTTGTGTCAAGAATAGGATAAATGGGAATATGAATGAAGGATTAACTGGAAGGAGAATGATCATAAACTGCTACTGTACAGAGTCACTGATGCATTCAAGCACAGTAAAACAGTGTTGCAGGTATTTTAATACTTACACTTAGTAATATTGTATGCCTTTAATGGCTTAACACAGACTACCTATGCTTAGTTTTTTTTTTAGAAAATCTTATTTACATCTCTTCTCAATATCCAGTGAATAATATGGACAAACCTGTACGTTCTTGTAGTCTACTGGAACACCACACAGAATGCACTTCCTGGGAGGTTCTTTGTAAGGATTTTCTAACTTTATTGGCTATAAGAAAGTAGACATTTGAAACTGTGTTAACCATTTTTCCCTCCTAATTCATAGATACAACAGAAAATTTGAGTTATTCACAACGTAGCATCAGTAACAAAGACAGAAGATGTACTAGAAAATTTTGCACTTTATCCCTTACTATTTCCTCCCCATTAGGACAATTACCATATTCAATTTTCAACAAATTATTAGATAAATTGTAGATACAAAGAGAATATTGACTATTATTTTCAGGTGCACGGGGGGGGGGGGGGGGGGGGGGGTGTGTGTGTGGCCAAAAGTTGTCAAAGAGAGGGTTTTAACAAGATGAGAAAATTTATGAGTCAGATGGGTTTAGTGAAGACATTCCATTCTGTGGGGCTTAGTTGTCTAATTACTCTCAATAATATTGGAGAAAATTGAGGAGGGGGTGTAGAAGAGTCCACAGTCATATAGATGACAAGTAGTTTAGATAGAGAATTTATAGGGCTAGAAAGGGTGAGAGACCAGGAGAACCCAAATCATGAGGAATTTGAACACATGGATGACAACTTTGCGTACCATTGCAAGTCAACAAGAGTAGCTAGCCGTGATGAGAAAATAGGATTTGATGTGGAATACAATGTTGAGAACAGAATTCTAAATGATCCAAAGTTTACAGAGTGAAGAATAGTAAGCTTGCCAGGACAGTATTAGAAAGCACTGAAACAAAAGATGATAAAGAAAACAGCAAACTGTGGGGAGACTGCTAACAATTTTAGGGAGACACACATTAGTCAGTTAGTTGGGAGATAGATGGAAGAAGATACTCAATATGGAAAAATATGAAAATCACTTTCAGAAGAAAGTTGATAAAAAAAGAGAAAAAAAGTAAAGGGCATAACTAAAATAATGTTGTTTGCATTCTCAGACATTTCAAAGCTGTTCTCAAACAATGATTTAACTTTGTAGTGAACTCTTTCTTCCAGTATAGGTAAATCATACAATTTAGTTCCTCATTCAATAATGGGACAGATGATTTCATTTATCTGTTTTAATCATTTTGGTTTGAATGGACTTGGGCTTTCAGGTACAAAATACTTTAATAGTCAGAAGACATGTTGATGTGAGTAATAAGTGGACCCAAGAATTTTTCATCAAGTGCAACAGATAATAAGACTATTGAGTGCATTTACTCAGCAATCACTGGGAAAGTCAAAAATATATACATTCACAAGTATAGAGGTAAAGAAAATACATCGTCTTCCGTTAACCCCAATACAATATCACCAAATTTCAATGCAGAAGAGTAGTGGAAACATTAGAACATAATCACATATTCTTCATGATCGACAGAAACAGATTAGCTGGTACAGTACATAGTTCACTCAGCTTTGTTTGATGATTGCACCCAGATATGTTTTGATGAACAGTTAGAATCTATAAATCAGTTGATGGCATTCACAAATAATGCTTTCTTACCATATCAGAAGTGTTACTGATCGATGGAATATGTTGAGTGCTGATCCCCTTTTGCCAGTACACTACAAAGCCAGCAAATAAGAAATATATGAATTGTTAGACATACACATATTGTTCTGGATAGCGAGAATTGGAAAATGGAAGATTTGGATAACACCTAAGTTGCAAAGAGCTCACCATGTGACTTCTTGGAACTCAAAAGTTAAAAGCTCAAACAGAATTCAAGACTGCCTTCCGATTATAGAAATCAACTGACCTCGTGGCAAATACAAGCCAAAGTTTTAAGGGAGAGATGAAAGATGGGTTTCATTATATTAATAGTTGGACCAACAGTTTTGGAAAATCGTTAAGGATCTGCTGTTTGTCACCTAGCAATAGCTTCTCCACTGAGGTGCTGTTCTTTTTTCAGTACTCGCTGAAATGTGGCAGTTACAGGATAGGTTTGCAAAGTGCCATCACTCTCTAACACTGTGTGCGCGCAACTGTGTATTTGGATTAAAGGGGGATACATTTTAATCCTCCATAGTTAATCCGAGATTGTACTTAACTGGTTTTTCCAACTTATTGTAAGAAAACATGCTGCCTTTAAGAAATATGCTATTTTGAAAATAGCTGGTGAAAGACTATTATCTATAACAAAACAGAGAAAGATTGATTGGTTTGAGAATACCCGAGACATTTGCATTTTTGGCACAGCTTGATTTCTAGCATACTCCTCTAATAGTATCGTAATAACTGTAGACCAGCTTTCTGTTGTATGTGGTTGCTATAATGCTGTAACTCAAAATCATTACCCTCCGCAGCAGGAGTTCAATTTTAGATTTTAAACCAGGGTTTCATTAGTGAAGACATTTCAAATTACTGCAGTCAATTTAACATGCTTGGTACCTAAATACATCAGACATTTCAAAATTAGAAACTGTTAAAGTAATTACTGTATTAGGTCCAGACTCTTGTGAAAGGTGAACATCATCTTACTATCCACAAGGTTAATATCTGACAGTTCCTGAGCATGCCATACCAAAATTTTCATACAGTTGAACAAGCACTGAGAAATTTCCTGTCCAATTCTCAGTTACTACACGATGCAAGTTACAGGTCACAGTAGCTATTTGAGGCAGTAGAATACCCGAGTTCAACTTAATGCGTGTCCAACCCAATCCCCCAAAGCAGTCTATCCAAAGTCAGGTTGCTCCGAACTAGTGATGAGTTTATTGATGAACTGAGGGATATGGAAGGACATGGTGAAACTGGTTGGAGGTGTGGGGGGATGGTGTTGGAATTTAAGACAATGGTGGAGAAATGAGCAGATTTGGCCATGTCATAAGATCTGAATCCTAAAATGCAGGGGAGGTGAAAAAAAAACAAATCAGGTTTTATTTGGACTACTGGATGTTCAAAAAAAGGACTCAATTCATACTCAAGATAAATAGCAGGGCTTTGGTAAGAGCAAATCTGGAGTTTTGTCCTAATTTAGTTCAGGATGTAAGGTGTTAGAAGCAGTTGAGAGAAGGTTTACTAAACTAATATCTGGAACGAGAGGGATGCCTTACGTGGAAAAGTTAGCTAGCCCAGATTTGTACCTGCTGGAATTCAGAAGAGACCACTTGGTTGAAACATACAAGATCCTGAGGCAGCTTAACCGGGTGGATGTGAAGAGGATGTTTCCTCTAATGGCTGAATCTAGACTTAGGGGTCACCCATTTAAAAAAAATAGACAAGGAAAAATTCTCTCAAAGGTTTGCATGCCTTTGGAACTTTCTTCCTCAATAGATGGTGGAAGCAGAGTCTTTGAATTTTATTAAGAAAAGGATACATAGATTCTTGATAAGTAAGGGAGTGATTTTCTTAGGGGCGTAGGCAAGAATGTGGAGTGAAGTCACAAACCGTGGAGCAGGTTCAACAGGCTAAATGGGGATATGTTGTGCAGTTGTAATGTTACTGGACTAGTAATTTGTAATACAGGTTAAAATCCCATCATGACAGATGGCGACATTTCAGCAATTAGTCTGTGCTAGAACTCTGTAACAGCAACTCGGCTAAACTCATACTCTGGCCTTTTCCTCGTAGTCCTGCAAAAAAACTTTTCTGTTCACATAATTACACAATGCCCTTTTGAAAGCCATCAATGCCCTGTCTTGTGCAGAGGATTCTATTCCCCACAGTCCAAAAACCATTGCCTCAGCACCTTTTAGTGGCGACATAGCAAGAAAACAATTATTGTCAAAACTCAACTCATCTCAATTCCCCACTAAGTTTGCCACTGAAATGCATTACTGTGACCTGATCATATATAACACAGCATTTTGACACGTAGTGTGCTGCGCATAAAGTGTTGATGAACATCTCAAATATAATGCACATACATCCAGGACCAAAAGGTTATGAAAATTCTGGGCTTTAACACCAAGCTCAAGAACTGTTTTTAACCCAACTCCAAATTATGTATGAATTTTAAGGTGGAATGAGTACTGATTCTTAGTTACAATCCTTGCCACACATTAATAATGTAGGGGACCAGAGACAACCTTAGAATTGCTTATGGATAACCTTGAAGTATTATTCTTGGTTCACAATACTTTGAAGATTCAAGGCAAATTTAGAAATAATGATCAAAAGCCCATAAATATTGATAAATCTAAAACAAAAGCAGAAAATGCTAAAGTGCAGAAATCATAGAATCCCTACAGGGTGGAAATAGGCCCTTCAGCCCAACAAGTCCACACCGAACCTCAGAGAATCCCAAATCAATGAGCATCTACAGGGAGAAGAGCCAACAGTTCTGCTGTATTCCTTGAATTAAACAATTAAATATCAAAATTAGTTCAGAATTTATGAAGGGTTACATCCAAACATCTGTTCTTGTCACAGATCCTGTATGTACTGCCTGTGGTTTCAGAATTTTCCAATTTTTAGATTTCTATTATGTTCCTCTCAATTACTTAAACTACATAAGTTTACAATTACAGCAGGGAATTCAGCACACTATATGTGTGGTGACCCTTTACTGTGTCAATCAAAACTAATCCATGGCCCCACACTCTCAGTCTTATAACAAACCAAAAGTAAACTCAAATGTTCTGCTCTCTCACCATGTCCTATATCTCCATTAACTAAAATTCTGAACAGAGTTTTGCCTGTAAATAATGTATACTTTCTGCCTTGACCACTCTCTACAATTGGGCACTCCATGCCCCAACAACTCCCCATATAATGCAAGTCCTCCTAAACATTTTCTTCACTTGCAATGATCATTTTAAATTGATTCTCTCTTCTATCACCACCATACCCCAACCTCCCAATATTTGGCCTAGAAACAAGTCATCCAATCTTAGCAAACTTAAAACTTTTGATTAAATATTCTGTGGCCCAGTGGGAAAAGTCCCAGCATCTGTTCACAACTGGTTTCCCATTCCTAGCACCATCCTGATGCAGTTCTTGCACACTCTCAATAGTCAGATCACAAATGGAAATTCGGAGAATAATTGTTTTGTTTGATTTATTGTTGTCACACGTGGTAAGGTACAGTTAAAAGTGTTGTCTTTCATGCTCTACAGGCAGATCGCACCATACAAAGTGCATCAGATAGCAGAACAGAGTGCGGAATACAGTGTTACAGCCACAGAGAAGATCCAGAGAGAGAAGGAGAGACATCAGTATTTGAGAGGTCTGACACTACACTGCGTTCTGTACTGGGTCTTCACGCTTCAATTCTTGCTTATAATTGTACCGTGTCTACTGTTTCAAAGTTGGCCCCATTTGATATCACTACTCCACTTTATCCTCACAGCCCTGCAAATGTACCAGTTTCAACTATTCAGCCAAACCTTTTTTTTTTGAGTGTAACTACTAAATCCGCTTCCAGCAGCCTTTCAGTCTGCGTCTTATCACACTATGTTGAAAAGAAATCTCACCTCGCCCCTGGTTCTTTAGACAATGACCTCATATGTATGTTCTCCGCCATCAGTTCTTCTGCCAGCTGAAACATAATTTCTCTACTTTGATGACAATCCGGCATGATTTTGAACACACCTATTGAAATCTCCCCTTTGCTTTCTTTGCTTCAAGTCAGCAGTGCCAGATTCCATGGACGAATGAAGTCCCTCAGACCTAGTACGAAACTAAGTGAATCCTCTGCAAAACAAAAGCCTTGTCTACGTTCCTAAAATCTGGCGCCTAGAGCAGGACACAACGTCTCAGCTGGGCCTATTTTCCGAAGAAGGGTCCCGACCAGAAACGTCAACTTTCCTGCTCCTCTGATGCTGCCTGGCCTGCTGTGTTCCTCCAGTCCTACACTGTGTTATCTCTGACTCCAGCATCGGCAGTTCTTACTATCTCTGGGCCTAAACAGTCATGTTTTTATATATGAAAATTTAAGGAAAGAAATGCGGCCTAGCTAGCGACTGACAGACGTTTATCACTTCTTCAGTATTGTAAGAAATGTAAAAACACCGAGACCACTTTCTCTTTCAGTGCGATTTCGAGTCCAACTCCCCTCTTTACCTGGACGCCATTTCCTCAACGCCCGCAACATCCTGCTGGAACCAGCAAGATATGCGCACGCGCAAACAAGACTTCATGGGAACGCCAGTACACCGACAGGTGCGTGCGCATTGGTCTCGATGACGTGCGCTGCCAATCCGCCAGGGAATGCGTCATCGGTGGGCCCAGATTTATACCTAACTGCCGCTGACGTTTGAATTTAAACTGTTAGTTTAGCGGGAACGTGTTGCTGTACCAATGTTACAGCGGCTGCTCCTTTGTGCGTGTGAATATCGGGATGTGAGTGTGATTACCGCAAGTGATGGCAGTTGTTCACTTGTGAGTGTGAACACTGTATGATATGGATGTTCCATTGTGAGTGTGAACACAATGATATTGTGGATGTTCCGTTGTGAGTGTGAACACAATGATATTGTGGATGTTCCGTTGTGAGTGTGAACATTGAATGATATTGTGGATCTTCCATTGTGAGTGTGAACATTGGGCTGT